AGATGAAGAAAGCAGTTGTGTTTCTGCCTTGAGAGCTCTGACAGCAGCAGTACTAGCACCAGCTTCTGCTCCCTTGCCTGCAGCTCTGTCAAATTCAACTGCCACTTGGCAAAACTTAAGGTAGCAGCCTCAGAAGTTTCAACCAAACCCTAAGATAGAGTAAATACAGCTGATGTGTGCCACGCAGAAATGCAAGAACATCCTCTTGAATTGGTTGGTGTAGGAAGAATATAAGGTCTGCCTTTATCTTCCTGGTATCAGAAGTTCAATCAGCTGCTTACGGCCTTTGCTATTCCTGTAACACACCAAACCCCTCTGCATATGTACTGCAAGTTTTATGCAGGTGTTACGGTTCATAGTTTGAGAGAGGCTAACTGTATTGAGGGGGGGTGGGGAAAGACACTGAAAAAACCAAGATTTGCTATTTTTTGTGGAGTAAGGTTAAGGCTTGTGCGGTTTTTTTTTTTTTTTTTTTTAAATCTGGTTGTTGGGAATGAAACCAAGCAAGACTCTGTGGGGCAAACTACCAGTAATAAGACAACATGACTCATTGCTTAGTATTTAAAAAAAAAATCCAAACCAGTAACAAATAGCTGATATGGAGTGTTCTGTGTTACCTCAGACCAGGACATACCCTTTGATACTCTGTGACTAAAATAACTTTATTTCTTGGGGAAGGGTTGTAAAGAAAGCAGTTAAACAACTTCTTAGAAAAGCTTCATTTTTAAGTATTGTGATCAAGTGGGAATCTTTGGCACTGGGGAGTGCATGTATACCTGTAAGGCAGATGTAGAGAAACATTATAGCCTGTTACACCAGAGAAAGGACATCAGCTTGCCGGGTGAAGGAGCAAATCCAAAGGATTGCCTTTCTGTGTAGAAATGGAAGGATAGCTTTTGCTGAAACTGGCAAACCTAAATATTAGTATTGCTGCCTTTTCATTTAAACAAATATTATCGTGTTTGAAAGCAGGTACTCTATTTCAGTTGCTGTCTCTGAGTATCTAAGAGTTGTCTTGAGTGAGAACTTCAGATGTGTTGAACATCCTTATCTTAATTTGAAGATGCAGAGATGTAGGAACTACTAATTTGGGCACAAACTGAAATATAGGAAACTTAATTGAGAGGGTGTATATTTGGGTTTTATTTAAAGTTGTTTTGTTTTAAATGATGAGAGTGGTCAAGCACTGGAACAGACTGCCCAGAGAAATTGTGGAGTGTCTGTCCCTGGAGGTAATCAAAACTGAACTGGACACAGCCCTGAGCAACCTGTTGACACTGGCACAAGCTGAGATCTTGGACTGGGTGATCCACAAAAATCCTTTCTAATGTAAACTTGCGTGATTCTGTGAGTCCTCCATGGTATCAGAAGTTGAGATTTGTGACAAGGTGGCATAAGTGGCTTGTTGAAAACTCTGCAGCAGATGAATAGTGGCTGTGTCATGAAGCTCACGCTTGCCTAAAATATAATTCCAGGTATTTCCCTGGATATAAATAGGAGGTATTGCTATTGAGTTTCATCTAAAACTCTTGAGAAAAAGATATTTTATTGAAAAGTAGTATAACAAGTATAACAAATGGGAGGCTAGAATATTATCTGAAAACAAAGGTCTTACTTTTAGAAAGATGCCTGAATTTTGGTTGTCTTAGCTCCCCCTTTGAATGGAGGAGGGTTACCAGATAGTCTTAATTCATCTAATGCGTTGACCCCTTACCAAAGGAATCTACCCTACAGTAATATGTGCTGACTGATGGGGCTTTTGTCTTCTTCAAGAACTTGGAGTCCAGGATACTGGCTGCTCTCTGTGCCTGCCCAGAGGAGCTCAGGTGTATTCCATTGCCTTTCAGAATAGTGCAGTTACTGGTGGTGTTTGAACATAACTGAGCTAGAAGATATCCATGGTTAAAAGTATAGCTGATACAGGATTAGTTCATGTGTGTGTTGATGTATTAACTTCCCTTTTTTTCTTTCCATCTTTGCACAGCTTTGTTCATTGCTTGTGACTGCCAGTGAAGTCTGTTCTCTAGTTGCTTACTGGAGAGGAAAGTTCTGGTAGCCTGGCTCAGCTAGCAGGTATTAACTCAAGAACCAGTGCAGGCAATCTGATTCCTTGTGTTTGACCATAGGATGTGGATTGAAAAACATTGTGAACAGCAGGTCTAAGGTACTGTATACTCTGATGTGTATCTGATGTGAAAGTAGGTAGATGAAATACTGAAAATGTTCCAGGAAAAGTAAAATGATAAAGTTCATGTTAACAGTCCTAAGATATTAAACAGATAGAAGCATGATACCCAGTTTGGGTTTGGGAAGCTGAGTTACTCCAAGCAGTATTTCTCATGAAAGTTTCTGATGCTGTTGATAGTCACAGGGGGCTATTGTCACTGCTTCACAGACTGGCAAGGAGAGCAGAATATCTCATGGCCAGCAGCATGCTACTTGCTTAGTCTTGGGGTTTTTTTTGGCTTGGTGGTGTGGTTTTTTCAATTTAATGAAGATTGATGACTGTCCGTGTAAACAGACAGTATTTCTCTAAGGTTTTAAAGAGTTGAAGCATACTCTTCTCTATGTACCTACAGCCACTCCAAACTGAAGAGAGAACTCCTGTGACAACCTTTTTCCTGTGACTTCATCCTCTGTCACTAAGCTTTGGTCTTCTTTTTTTTTTCTCCTCTGATTGTCTCTTTCAGATCCTTTTGGCTGTTGAGCTTTCTGCACAAGGGAGTCAGTTTCTTAGAAAATAGCTAGCTATGCAGAAGGACAAGGAAAATGGAGTACTTAAACCTGCTGATGGCCCGAGTGAAGAACACATCAAAGGTTACCATTCTGATCCCTGTAATCCAAGGAAGCTGAATAAAAGGTTTTTCAGTGCAATTGTGATACTGGTGTTCATCCCAGTGGTGCTTCCTGTTGCCCATTTCTTACTTCTCTGAGGAGTACAGAGACTGAGTTTCTTTGCACTTACCTACACTTTCATTTTGTCTGGGAGGCAGGAAATGCTTTCTCTTGACAATTTCTAGCAACTTTATCCCAGCTTCAGACTTTTGGGTCTGGAGTAGAGTCCTGATTAAGTATCTGTTGCTGCAAGCTTGTCAGCTCTGCTTCTCATGCACTGTTGCAGCATAACTCAGGCTTATTTTGGAAAGTGTGCTTTCCTTGAAGGGCTAAGTGAACAGTGACACGAGAGCAAGTCAGTGCTGTGGTAGATGTCTAATTTCCACTCTTGCAGGTGTGTGGACTCTCTTACGCTAATTCTGTTCTTGTAACTTTGGTTGGTTTTAAGCCAAATGAGCAAAATAAAAGATATTTTTTTTCATAATATTTTGGTCACCTCCTGCTTCTTTCATATGAATTCACTGATTGTTTTTTCAGGACCTCAGCTAAGGAATTCCTTTGGGTAATGTGTATATGAACTGGGGGATGCAGTTGTGTCCAAAATTTTCAATTTGGCAAAGCTATAGGAGGTGAGGTGAAAGATTGCAATTCTCTTCAGTCTTTTCTAACTATTACTGGAAAGTCCTTATAGCTTGTTCTTTTTCTAGGGTGTGCACAGACTTCACAATGTAAATCCATAACGAAGCTTTCAGTAAAGCCTGCCAAACAAGTTGATGCAAACTAGCTTATCTGTTGTCAGTTGTGCTTTTTACGTGTCATTAAGCAACTGAACTTCCTCATACGCCATGTAAATGTTGCAACAATTTTTATTTTCATTTATTCACAATTGCACACATAAGTAATATACTTCAGGCACACTGCTTTCCAGAGAGTTGTTAAAGGCTCTTTTTTTTTTTAAATGGGTAACATGAATTATGCTTTGTAACTCAGATCTTTGTAAGATCTGACAGTAGGCAGGCTAAGTCTAAGGACATGTTCATTGACTTCATGAACTGGTTGCAGTTAGTTCAGTGGTAAGTACCATTGAATAGCATTTGAGAGATGACTCAATTGCACTGAATAATGGTACAATTTGCACTGTGCAGTTAAACTGGTCAGTTAGAAATCCACAATATCACACCACCTTTGTGCTCAGCTAAGTATAGTGGTCCAACAGGTGTGTCAGCCACAAAAATGTACTTGCCTTGGGTGTGAGATGCCACAGATCTTGGCTTTTTGCAAAGAGTTCCCAAGTAGATAAACTAGCTTGTGCTACGTTTGTTGTGCTTGAACACCTTTAAGATAACAGGAAGAAAATATCACTGCTCTGGAAAAATCTAACTATTGAATATAGTAAGATACAGTCAAATTTTATGAAGTGTTTCTGCAGAACTTTGCTTTAGTGGTCATTTGACTCATATTGCTGCTTGAAAATTCTTCTCAAAGGAGAATTCCTACAGCATGTGGTGAAATCTAATATGAAAGGAAAGATTTGCTATGTTGAATATGTAGTTGAGTGCTTTTGCTGTAATGAGAAGATACCTTGTCTCTGCATATCTGACACGTTCATAGCTATTTTTATATGTGCCTTCTCATATTTTTTTTTCCTCTTCCAAGTTCCTGAGGAGATGATGTTCTTTGATTGTGTTGTTTATATCACACATAAATCTCTAAAGCTTCACCTTGCAGGACAGTGCTGAAGTGTGTGGTAATAGATAAGCTGTCAGAACTACTGTAACTGTTGTTGTTTATTCATAGGCACTTGGAGGTAGCATGTCACCATACTGCAATGGAAGCCTTAAAACACCCAACCTGTGCCCCCACATGAAAATCAGAAAATGCATAGCATCTTGAGAAGCGCAGACAATTCTCTTACTTGTATGATGTAATGTCTGAACCCGTGCCAGAAGTAGCTTGAATATATTTACTATTTTATGAATTGAAATAAAGCCTTTTTCCCAAGCTGTGTAGAACGGTGTATATGTCTAGAAGGAAATAAAACCTGAAGTCAGGCAGGGAGTATGCCTGACTGTTCCTATACGTGCCCTCTTTCTTTTATGCTTCTAGTTTGATATGCTGCAGTCCCTCTTGTCTCCTGTTGTAATCCCTACCTTTACACTTCTGAGGGTGCTCTTCTGGAACTGGGAAGCAACACCTGAGTGTTTAGGCTGCTACTTGCCAGATTGCAGGTGTGCTGTCATGGGGTGTGGTTATTTTGTTTGCTTTTTTCCCTAAGGTTTGTTTCATGCATGCAGGATCTCTTTAGGTACATAGCAATGGCTGGCTTCATTGATGATATTGGTGGTGACCTGTGGCTTGCAATTCCTCTTTTTAGAAACATAAGGAACAGCCACTCTGTCTTTGCCTGCTGGTTGGTGTCCTTGCCTTCTTTAATGCTGATACTCCTGTCTAAAAGCATAAACATTACTCTGGAGCAGATTTGTTTTTGACACACTGAAATTTCTGGCTATGCTTTCTGGATTTCATACAACTAAATAATTGTGGTTTTGATGTCAGTGTAACTTTTCCCATGACTACACAGTAGTAGTCTGTCATATTCTTGCCAAAATTTACAATGCTGTTTGCCTCTGAAGTTAACATACTATTAAATTCCTACAAGACATACAGTATAAAAGGGATACAGAGCTCTTCAGACCTTCATGCAAAATATAATATTTTTCCATCTTCTAGGTGGCTTTGTGAGAAATCAGTGTTCCATGGGAATGCTTAAGAAGATAGAGCCCAGAAGCTTCTTTGCTGGTGCTCATTTGGCTGTTACTGATCAAACATTGCTCTCCTGAGGCCCAAGCCTGGTCTGTTACCAGCAGAACTACACAGCCTCTTTGCTTACAAGTTGTTGGGTTTTTCCCCCTTGATGTTTGTGGTGAAGCTGGAAGCTTTATCAGAATCTGGCCAGTCTGAACAGCAGCGAGGGCTCTGTGGTACTAGGTCTGCAGGCTCAGTAGCATGCACCATTTCATTTTTGACAGTGAAATAAATTTGGAGAATTATTCTTGCAGATGTGAAGGCAAGGAAGTCAAAGACTAAGAGCTAAACTTCAATTTATGCCCTTACCAGCCCTTTTTAGGGAAATAATCATACTTGCGGTTGATCAGAGACTGAAAAACTTGTGACTGTGTAGTTTTTCTTCATGGATTTGATTTCTTAAAATTCTGAAGGTCACCTGATATGCTTATCCTATGTTCTTATTGAAGCCATTTATAGTTGAATATATAGTGTAACTGTTTCAGTCCTTTTTCTGCATTTTAAAATGAGGACTTATTTTGCTAATTGAAATGGGAGTCTTAATACCTGACTGTGTCTCCAAAATGACACTTGCTACATTTCTGTGGTGATGTACTTTCATACTCTTGCAGTTATGCTGGATCATTATTTACTCATGTTATATAAAAACATTTGTGGAAAGGTATTGTTATGCCACAATTTTTTAAATTTTGAAGTGTAGGTAGAATTTCAAATCATTATGTTGCTGTTCCTGTTTAAACAGTATGAATGAGAGATTGGACTTTCTTAAAACTGCAAAGTAACTCAGGGAAGTACTGGCTTCTAATTCCTTTTACAGTGCAGTTCAGCTCGGTCACAAATTTGTAATTGTCAGTTTTAATCATATCTGAACATCTCACTATCCTTTGTCTTGATCAATTAAAGGGAAGTCTAACACAGACTTGTAAAATTTAAAACAAACAGAATCTTAAGCCTACTCAAATTCCCTAAGCAATAATGCTGCGATTTTGATAAATTGAATGAACTGTTAAATGATGGTTTAAGTCGTTTTTAGTTAAAATGAAGGTGTATAAAGTAGGAAATGCACATGCATTTGAAATACACACCTTTCCTATTAGTTAATCTTGTAACAAGTACTTGCGGTGGTGTACATACAGCTTACTCTTGACACTGGTTGAGTAGGCTGAGTTTCTCTCAGAGTTACTTAGTGGACTTCAAAATGTGATGGTGAACTTTTACTAATTAATTGAAGCCATTTCATTTCCTTTGTACAAGCCTGTGTTACTGGTGATGGATTCTGTCATCTTGGGCAGGAAGCACCTTCCTGCTTAGCTGTTGGTTAACACCTGAGCAAGTTGTCTAGGCAGCTGTTGCGGTGAGTGCGAACCCTCTGGCTGGTGGAGAGCCCAGGCTTGTTTGAGCAAGTGCCTACCTTGGGATAAGGGGATGGGCTCTGTGAATTGTGTTGGCAATAGGTACATCTGCTCTGCTGACTGAAAGGTACCTAGGGTGGCTGCCTGATGGGGCTTATGCTTATATTGTCCCAAGTAGCGTTTCATCTTGCAAGGAGGAAACATTTATTTTATCCGAAGCACTCTACAGGCTAAGCAAAGGTGACTGAATTTGATTACTTGTGATAGTTTCTTATAGTAAGAAAAGCATATTGTGCAGTAAACGTGTACGTGCAATTAAAGAAATGAGGACTGAGTGCTTTTACAGGTATTGCTCCTGTGACACTGCTGCCTTGGAGCTGATCTGAAGAGGAACAGTGCTTCCAAATCACTACCTGCCTCCTGAGCACCCTCTGCATGCCACTGAAGCTGCATTGTCACTGCTGTGCTCTCCATCCCCAACCCTCCAATCCTTCTCTTTGAAGGACCAACTGGTGTGTTTGATTTCCACCTTGCTTGGCCTCAGTGGTGTGCCTTACATTGTTGTCTGTCACACGTGTGCTGTCACTTCGATGTTCAACCATGCTTCAGCCAAAAATGTAATGGTTTTTCTTTCAAGACTCTGGAGAGTTCAGGTATTTTTGTCTATTGGTTCACCGAGACTGTGGCATTTTGGTGTAAGCTAATGACTGTGTTCCCCTTGTAAAACCTCCTTATAATTACTTACAAATGTTGGCACCTACTGTATGGCCTCTGTGTGTTGAAGGACAGGATGAGGCCAGTTTATAGCCCTGGATGGTAGGAAAAGGGAAAGGGTGGCCAAAAATCAATTAAAGAGAGATTCTTTTGAAGGAAGTACAAGCCCACATTCCTAATGAAGGTCTGAAATTTTGTGAGTGCTTCAATATGCTGAGTGAAATAATGTCACTGGTTTGATCCTGACCACTTCTTGACTTTCAGTGGGGGTGGATCGGATGACTTCTTTTTTTAAAATTGCTTTACCAAGCAATAATTTGAATTTATGGGAATGCATTGGCTAGCTATCAACTCAAGTATCTTTTTAAAAAGAAAGAACAACAGAACAAACAAACAAACCCCACAAAACCCAAAACTTGACCTCTCAATAAGGCTTAAAAGATTTCTCTTAACAGTTCAGATAGGGTTGTTGTTTTTTTTTTCCTTCAGTTTAACATTTTGTGTGTCTGTGTTTATTTTTCCCTCTAGCATGTTTGGGACTAAGGGAAAGATGGAGAAAGGTGAGGATTTATAAATCTACAGAATTTGTCAGTTGCCTTCAGTTTCTTTGATTATCTTAATGAGGAGGCTTCATCTGAATGTGGGATAAGGGGAAAAGATGTAGAAAAGGCCAGGAGGAAAAACTACTCTTGTTTCTATCTTTAAAGTAGGGCTGTATTGCCTCTGGCATTCTGTATGTGGAAGAAACAGCTCTGGTTTTGTATTAGTGGGGGGAAGGGGAATCAGGTTATTACAACTCAGTGTTTAATTAAATTATCTTACTAAATATTACAACTAAGACACTGCAGCTTTTCCACACTGAGGCAGTCAAGGGTGCTAGCTTGCTAAGCTAGTCTGTAATGTTTGTTGTAATTAAACTTAAATAGAATAAGATCCAGAACCCCAGCAGTATGCCTGATGCATCAAAACCCACTTAGAATAAGTTCTTTTGCATTCTGGTTGCATTCTGTTTGTGGTTTGACTCTGCCTCTTATTTAAAAAAAGGTGGTCTTTTATTGCAGGACCTCTTCAGTAGTATATTGCTAACATACATTTGATTCAAATGCTGTATTCTTGCTATATATGCTTGTTTGGAACATGTGGGTCCTGTGTCAGCATAAGTGGGGCTTTTAATTTTGTGCATGTACAGGGCTAATCACTCACTGCTTATTATTTGGTTACAAATTTCTGTGTTTGAAGAATCTCAGGAGGTGCCTTTTCAAACATAAATCTGTTAATGCCGTTCTGTGTCTAAGCAAATGGTGGCCAAGTTACAAGGATCTATAGCTCTGAGCTGTGTATTAGCATGCAGTTTCTTTGGTATACCTCTAATTCTTGAAGAACGCATGCCAAAATAGAAAAATCACACACTCTTATTTCTCAGTTTCTTGCACTCTACCAAGTTTCTGTCTTGCAGTATTTACCAAACTGTCTCTTAAGGTGTGGTCCTATTTGGCAACGATTATATCCAAAAAAGACTTGAAAATTCTGGATCTTTACTATTTGGAGATTATATATTTAAACATAGTTGACTCTTGCATTTTACCCAGTGAAAACAGGAATGGTGCTCCCCGTGGATATGCTTGCTTCTACCGAAGGCCGTTTTTACAGCTGGGTGTTAAAGTCATGAAAATCAAACTGCTGACACAGCCTTAATCACAGTGCCACGAGTAGCACTTCTTTGGTTTTCTATGACAGTTTCATTGGTACTATTAATAGTTGGCTCCTTACAGGTGTTCATGTATAATAACTTGTAAGACAACACTTGGTAAGTTTTCAAATGAATCATGTTAATTCCAGGATTAATTTTTGCAGAGAGACCTCTTGACTCTTTTTCCTTTCGAGGTTTTTGGTCATAAAAAATCCATATGTTGAAAATGTTCATTACTTTTAATTCTTCAAATGCAGCTTTGTGTTAGGGGGAAAAGCAGAGAGAGAAACTGGCTTGCCTGTGATAGTGGGCAGCCGCACTTGATCTGATGTTACTG